TCTGCTTTCCATTAATCTGGACATGGAGTAGAGCAAATGAGCAACTAAGATGACAGAAGCAGAGAAAATGCTCATTTGGCTAATGAAATTGCAAGGTAAGACTCAAAAATGTAATAATGGTCTCTCTTTGCCCCAGTGTAGCTCAGTTGGTTGGAATGTCGTCCCATACACTGAAAGGTTGAGGGTTCAATTCCAATCAGGGCACATACCTAGGTTGTGGATTTGATCCCTGGTTGGGGCATGTACAGGAGACAACTACTCGGTCTCTCTCTCCTCCTTCCCCTCTCTCTAAAGATAACATGTTCTCTGATGAGGAATTTAAAAAAAGAAAAGAAAAAAAAAGAATGGTCTCTCCTTATCAGTCCGAACTGTGTGCGGGCTGCTTGGTCTGTGGCAGCAGCAGGCAATGTCTCTGGTACCATGAGCTGCTTCAGCCCTGAGGAGCGCCATGCCCTTCACCCTGCGTACCGCATCTCCCTCAAAATTCAGAAAGCCCAGCTGGCGTGGCTCAGTGGTTGAGCGATGACCTATGAACCAGGAGGTTGTGGTTCCATTCCCTGTCAGGACACAGGCCTGGGTTGTGGGCTCGATCCCCAATGTGGGGCGTGCAGGAGGCAGCCAATCAATGATTCTCTCTCATCACTGATATTTCCATCTCTCCCTCTCCCTTCCTCTCTGATACCAATAAAATGTATATTAAAAAAAAAGAGAAAAATTAAAAAGGACAGCCATGGCTGGTGTGGCTCAGTTGGTTGGGCGCCATTCCATGCAACGGACAATTTGACAGTTCGATTTCTGGTCAGGGGACATGCCTGGGTAGGGGGCATGGCATGTAGGAGGCAGATGATTGATGTTTTCACATTGATGTTCTCTCTCACCCTCTCCCTCTAAAAGTAAAAACATAAAAATAAAAAAGGACAATATACATCTCCATTTCATGATATCCCAATTTATACAGATAAGGATGCATTCCACATGGTAGTTGAAGTACCACACTGGTCTTACTACAAAGGACCATTCAAAACCAATTAAACGAGGTGAAAAGAGGAAAATTCCACTTTGTTGCAAATGTGTTCCCTTATAAAGGATATATGTAGCACTATGGTGCCATCCCTCACACTTAGGAAGACCCAGGACACAAAGATGAATATCCAGGACTTAGAAGAGGACCCAATTGATATAAGCAAGGTATGTGCAAGAGGTGAAATAAATAAAAGTACTCATGACCATTGGAGAGTGTTGGTGACAAAGAAAATCCATGGAAAAGGAATCAGCTGCACGATTATCACAATCTGAGAGCCCATTCAAGTGTGAGCCTGATCCTGCCAAAGCCATTGAGGATGCTCTCCTACCACACGTGAATCTGCCTGTACAAGTGGTTCCATCACCAGAAAATAAGGAAATTTCTCTGGAATACAAGGTCATATTGCTGCATCCTATTCATCTGGAAGTACCAGATACAAAAGTAGAGGGCTTTTTGTTGTTGATCATTACTGGAGGGTATTTTTTCCACTGATTTTAGAGAGTGGAGAGAGGAGAGAGAAATATTGATGTGAGACGGCCACATCAATTGGCTGCCTCCCGCCCAAGTCCCATCCCAAGTGGGGAACCTGCATCCCAGGTACTTGCTGATGACCAGAATCGAACCTGTGACCCTTCACTTCCTGGGCTGACACTCTAACCATTATAGAATACTGACCAGTGTGGAAAAAATACTTTTTGAATCTGTAATTTGTCTTTCAAAATTTTAAATAACCTTTATTGAGGGTGAATTTACATGCAACAAAATGCAACCATTTGTGTAGGTGGATAAGTTTTGATAAATGAATATACCCAATCACTATTCCAATCAAGATACAGAACATGCCCTGGCTGGTGTGGCTCAGTTGGTTAGCATTGTCCTGGGTGCAACAGAGGATTATGGATTTGGTTCCTGATCAGGGCATGTACCCAGGTTGCCGGTTTAATCCTCTGTTGGGGCAGGTACTGCAAGCAAGCCAACCAATCAATATTTCTCTCCCTCTATCTTCCTCTCTCTCTCATCAATGAAAAGCATATCCTTGGATGAGGGTTAAAAAAAAAAGAAAAAGATACAGAACATTTCCATCACCCCAGAATGTTCTTCATACTCATTTGCAGTTAACCTTTCCCACTGGGCAACACTGATGTGCTTTCTATCAATACAGTTCTGCCTGTTCTAGAATTTCATATAAATGGAATAGAATTACCCCTAGCCGGTTTGGCTCAGTGGATAGAGTGTCAGCCTGCGGACTGAAGGGTCCTGGGTTCGATTCTGGTCAAGGGCACATGCCCGGGTTGTGGGCTTGATCCCCAGTAGGGGGCGTGCAGGAGGGAGCTGATCAATGATTTTCTTTTCATCATTGATGGTTCTATCTTTCGCTCCCTCAAGTCTCTGAAATCAATAAAAAAATAAATGGAGTGGAATCATATGGTATGTTTTTGTGAATGGCTTTTTTCACTCAGAATGTTTTCAAGATTCATTCACACTTGTGACTTACATTCACAAATACTTTGGAGCTTCATTAGTGTTCATGTATTTATCTCAGTTTATTTTCACTTCCTATAGTATTCCAGAATATAACTATACTAGAGTTCTGGAGCACGTAATTCGTGCACTGGGGGTTGGGGCGGGGGCGGGTATCTCAGCCTGGCCTGCGCCCTATTGCAGTCTGGGAGCCCTCGAATGATGTCCGAATGATGGCTTAGACCGGCAGTCGGACGTCCTTAACACTGTCACAGAGGCGGGAGAGGCTTTCACCACCACTGCTGTGAGCCCAGCTTCTGGCTGAGCGGCGCTCCTCTGGTGGTCAGTGCACATCATAGTGACTGGTTGTTCTGCCGTTCACTCGATTTGCATATTAGCGGTTTATTATATAGAATATTACTAGAGGCCCAGTGCCTGATTGAAATCGCGGGAGAAGGCACCCTGCGGAGGGCTGGGACCCACAACTGCCCCACGTAGCCCCTGCCACCGCATTGTTTTGGCTGGGGTGGAGGCGTGCTCTGAGCTGTGTGGTGGCAGCTTGGAACATGCCCCCAGCAGTATGTTGTGTCTCCCCTCCAGCCCGGCCCCAGCCCCAGCCCCTCCATGTGTTGTGTCTCCACTCTGGTCTGCCCCCAGCCCCCGCCCCCTGGCCACTGGGGTGGGGGCGGCACGCAGTTCTCTCTTGCCCATCTGTGTGTGCAGCTCCTTCTGAGTGGCTGTGATGCAGCCTCCTCTGGAGCGGTCATGATGCTTGGCTAATTAGCATATTCCCCGTTTATAGATATTAGTGGCCTGGTGCACAGATTCGTGCACATTGAAAGTAAATTAATTAGAAGAAATATTTTAATATCGCTATTTGCCCTTTCTCTATAATAGAAGTGTCAACCAAATTCACGATCGACAATGACAAATTAAAACACATGCGTGTGACTGGCGCCAGTGAGAGAGGTCGTTTCTAAACTTTCTCTAAATCTCCGTTATCTGGCTAATGAAAAGAAAATAGGATTCTACCGAGTCTCCTATCTACCTACTCCAGGACTTCTGTGAAAATCAAATGAGATGAGACATGGGAAAATCCTTCACAGACATTTGGTGAAGCTGTAAAATGTTTGCACCTGGCTGTAAAGCGAGTCGTGTTACTGGGCTGAAGAAACTCCTAGGAGTCTAGTCACTAGGGAGAGGAAGCTGGTCATTGCTACGTGACACCATTACCCAGCACCCACAGTGAACGTTGCTGGGCTGGGCTGTGGGCTGTATTTTAAGCCACGGGGTCTTGACAGTGTTGACTGCGATTTGGTGCGCTGTTGCTCAGGGGTGGTGGTGGGGTCTGTGTTCCACTTGGGGGAAGCCAAGTGTTGCTTTGTCGGCACCAGGTCCACGGTGCCGTTTCGCATTGAGCATCTGCCGCCCCGGTCAGTGCGTGCCATAGCAACCGGTTGGATAAACACTTAGCATGTTAGCCTTTTATATACAGACAGTGCCATTCTCAGTAGACATTTAGATTAACGATCGCCCCCGCCCAGCTGGATGGTTCAGTGGTTGAGTGCAGACCTATGAACCAGAAGTCATGGTTCAATTCCCAGTTGAGGCACTCTGGTTGCAGGCTCCTTCCCCAGTGGGGGTCATGCAGGAGGCAGCCGCTCAATGATCCTCTCTCATCATTGATGTTTCTATCGCTCTCCCTCATCCCTTCCTCTCTGAAATCAATAAAATTTTTATTTATTTATTTTATTTATGGAAGTTTGTTTTAATTCCAGCCACTGAAATATGAAAATATATATTTTTTTAATTTTTCTTTTTTTGTTAATCCTCACTTGAGAATATTTTTCCACTGGTTTTTAGAGAGATTAATGTGAGAGACACACTGATCAGTTGCCTCTTGAATTCTCCCCAATGGGGACCAGGGATGGAATCTACAACCCGGCTACATGCCTTTGAGTGAGCATGAAACCTGCAACCCTTCGGTGAGCGGGCTGACACTTTAACCACCATACCACACCCGCCAAGGCAATTTCTTTTTAAAATACAGTAAAATCTGGATATAATGGACTAATTTGGGCAAGGGGATGTCCATTAAAGCCGAAAGTTATATAATAAAAATAGGTTTTCTGAATGTGTATGTTAAAAATGGACAAATTACTTTTCCCGTTTTTACTTATGTAGATACGTTTAATTAAAATTATGTATGAGAAACTTAACTTCAGAGAAAAGTTTTCTACATATATATTACAGTAATTTTAAATTTATACTGATCTAATAAATTTGCACCTTTAGCAGTTATGGAGAGTAAACAAACACACATGGCTGGGGTGTGGCTTAGCACACTAGTTAAAACTACTGCAGAAAGTCATGTTACTCGACAACAGAACCAGTTACCATGAACAATGTGGTGTGACTGCATGCTAATCATTTGCCGAACATTGTTAAGAGTGGTGACTCTTAGATTTAAATATGTAGACTATAGTTGTAGATATATAATATTTATGTTGATAAAATCACTACAGTGTTTTTTTCAACGTATGGCCTGTTTGCTAAAATTTGTTAAAAATAACTAAATTAAGAACACAAAGTAACCTGTTAATTATAAACAAATCTTGGTTAAAAGCATTTTAAAATTAACAGGGTGTTAATTTTCACATATGACACATGGACTGGAAATTTTGTCCATTAAATCTGAAGTCCCTTAAATCGACGGCTTACTGTATGACAAACAGTGCTGCTATAAATAATCTTGTACATATCTTCTGGTACACATGGGCAAAATTAATTTCTCTATGGTAGGAGTAGAATTGCTGAGCTGTGGATTAGGAACCTGTACAATCTCACTAGATAATGCCCAATTATTTTCCACAGTGGTTTAACTAATTTTTACTTCCACCAACAATGGGTGAAAATTTAGATATTTAAAAGCAAAAGGAACCTTGCTCTCATCTAGTCCATGGGGCTTCTAGATAGTCCAAGTTTTGATTGGCTCATGATATACTGGAAGCCAACCCTAATCCTTATGAAGTGAGCAGGCATTTGGGGACCTATGGGAATGTTAAAGGAGTTCTGCTGACATTTCAGGCCATGGCATCTTTCTTGAGGTTTTCCATGAAATATATAAGCAAAGAATAAGGAGGGGAGGGTTAAGAGCACTGATTAATGAAAGAACTTTGGTCTAGGATTGAGAGTTGTGTACTAGCTCTAGCTCTCCCACTAACCTGCTTTTCTCTTAAAATGAGTTGAGTACCTAACATGTGTCGATCCTGACTTTACAGTGGTGAACAAAACTGGTATGGGGCCTGCATTCTTGAAACTTAAAGTTTAATGGAAGAGAGAGGCATTAAACAAATAGAAAACTAAGCATAGAAGAAAATTAGTGGTAAAATGCTATCTAAGGAAAAAATCAGGGGACTATGAGGAAACAAAGAGGAGGACCTACTTTAAATAGGTAATAAGCACTCCTCTTTGGAAGAAATAATATTTAAATTAAGATCTAAACAACAAATGAGCTAGTCAAGGGAAAACCAACAGGTCATCACAGTAACAGCACATGGAAAAGTGGAAAATTCAACCACTGGAGCTGGGTTCCAGTGATGAAGGGAGAACCACACAAAAAGAGGTTGGTAAGGGCAACAGGTGTCTTTTACTCTAAGTCAGCGGTTCTCAACCTGTGGGTCACGACCCCTTTGTGGGTCGAACGACCCTTTCACAGGGGTCGCCTAGGACCATCGGAAAACACATATATAATTACATATTGTTTTTGTGATTAATCACTATGCTTTCATTATGTTCAATCTGTAACAATGAAAATACATCCTGCCTATCAGATATTTACATGACGATTCATAACAGTAGCAAAATTACAGTTATGAAGTAGCAACGAAAATAATTTTATGGTTGGGGGTCACCACAACATGAGGAACTGTATTAAAGGTTCGTGGCATTAGGAAGGTTGAGAACCACTGCTCTAAGAGGAAGGCAGAAACACACAGCAGGATGGGGATGGAGGTGGGTTATCAAGAGCTCTGATGTAGATAGGTAGGTGTGATATGCCTGTAAGACATCTAAATGTTAGGCAGGCAGTTGGATATGTAAGTATGGAACTCATGAAAAAGGTCTGGGATAGAGATAAAATTTCATCAGTAGATAAATAACTAGGCCAGGGAAAGGAAGGCAAACCCCTAAGAAGTGGTTATTCACTTTCTAAAATGTCTTTGGCTAAACTGTTTCATTTTCTTAGGTTTCACTTTCTAACATGAGCGTTGGAACTGGATGACTTAGGGAGCCCTTATAAATCTAAAGTTCTGCAAGAGGCAACTTTTATTGTGCAGGGGCTAATTTTAACCACCTGAACCCCATCCTAAAACAAAATTAAAAAAGAAACAAACAAATAGGAAACACTGGGTAGTTTAATTTGAACTGGGAGGTATCTTAACACAAAAGTTGGGAATTTTACCCCAAGCCCTTCATTCTGCAGATGCAGAAACTGAAGTTCCTGGGGAAGCTTCATGCCACAGCAGTGAGCAGGTAAGCCAGCCCCCGAACTGACAGCTATTGCTCAGTCTACCAAGGTAACGTGGGCAACTGGACAAGAAAAGGAGGGACTTAAAAGTCGTTCCCAAAAGCAAAGGAAATCTCATTCCGGGGCCGAACGGATCTGGGAAGCCACGCCCACCCGGGGCCTGCAGAACCTACCTTGGGGGCATTGTGTCCCACAGGGACGTGAGGTCCCCTTCGGGATTTCATTGCAAAGCGCATGATTTGCCTCTTCACAAAAATAAACAGCAGCACAAACACCTGTCCAAAAGATATGAGAGAAGTAAAGAATCTTAAGACAGTGAAAAGAATAAAAGGCATGCCTTCATTTCAAATCGCGATTCAGGCTCTCCGGGAGGCATTGGCGGGGGGGGGGGGGGAGCTGGGGACAGCAAGGCCATCAGAGTAGGGGTGGGTAAAAGGAAGCCGGCAGCCGGAGCGTGGGGTGCTCTCTGTTTCAGGGTTCAGAGGGAGGGCTCTTGGCCAGGGGCGGGGCAGCACGAGTCGGTGACTTACGCCCCCAGGTACTCCCGGGATAGGGGTCAAAACCCAGAAAAAGTGCAGGTGAGTGGGTGCAGAATGCGGACAAGGAACTGCTCACCGGGAGGGGCTC